AGCATTTGTATAGCGCAACAGCAAGCTCTATGCGCTTCACAATCTATACTATTACCCCAGCAGACCTGAGAGCATTATGAAACAACCTCAACTTCCTGGGAAGCATACAGTGCAAGCAGCCATTTATAGGCGCTAAAACACTAACATACTGACAAGATCTTTCGCTATCTATGGCCGGATACCCATTCTCACCTGGGTGAAGTGAGGAAAATTCGTGTCCCAAGGACACAACGTCGGGCCCACGGCTCGGACCCACGAACACGCAACCTCACCATTACGAGTCCGGTAGCCTCACCACTAGGCCACCGACGCCACATCCCAAAAGAAAGACCAAGATACTCGACAAAAATCCCCCCCCCCGCCCACTCAGTAATCAAACTTGGGTCTCCTGAAAGTGACAGCCAGCAGCCAACTGCAACACCACGGACACCGTTTGAAAGATAGATATGAAGCCCACAATGAGCTCAGGGCCATTATGGCGATCTTTTAGTTTAATTTTTACAACACAAATAAGTCAAATAAGTATCAAAGATTAGAGGAGTTACCGAGAGGTAACATGCAAAGTAAAGAAATACAAGGGAATAGGACGATAGATGTTAGATAGTAAAGAAGGATCAAACCACACTGGAGCACCCGCCAACCGCCCACTTTCTTCTTGTTCATTTCAACATGGACGTCCCAGTTTTTAGAGCAAAGGCTGCTGTTCTACGGTTGGTGGGTCTGTACTTTTCTTCTAAGAAACTTTCATGTAACTTTAGATTCTAACCAGAACATTTTCCTTTACCTGTGTATCCAGTGCGACAGTTGCAGAAGACTTGCTGAGATCGAGGGTCGAAGCTGCAGGTGTCAGCGTGCTGGGCGGGGCTGCCTGGGCCTCCGGGGCACATGCATGGTCGGCAAGGGATACGAGCACCGATACGAGGGTCTCCATAATAGCCATCTTCACACCTACGTTTGGAGAAATGGAATAGATTTTTTACTGCTTCACCATGCCATTGATCATCAACAAAATCAATAATCAATCATTAAGAATCTAATTTATGGAAGGTAGACTGGTCTTTTCATTAAAACAAAAAGATTGGCTACTATCTATTAAGTTTAGTTTTGTTTTGGCAAGTTTAACACCTTATCTCCCGCAAACTGCTGCCAGTGGCTGGGGCACATTCTTTTACGACAACTTTGGCGCTATATTACTTTTAGACAATTGCCAAAACAGGTCTCTATACCGAAAGTTCTTTCATTAAATGAACTATCAAAATAGGTTCATTTGTTTTGATTAAATGACCAATTTAGAGACTTAGAAGTCACTTTTAGATTCTGTACCAAAAGAAGACCCCAGCATAATAGGTTTACTCCCTCCCTGGAGATAAAGAGTTAACAGCCCTTCCAACATAAATAGATCGTATAAGTGCCAAAAATTAGGTGTTACCACAAGAGGGTAACAAACAAAGTAAAGAAGAGATAAAGACTACAGATGTTTGAAAGAAAAAGGAGCATACCACTCCAGAGCATCTGCCAACCACTCAGTATTTCCGTTCAGTATTTCCTCACCTTTCACAAAAGCTGCCAGACGTGAAGTTTCTGCAGTTGATGCAGGCCCCAGTAAGAGGGTCGCAGACATCAGCGTTGCCGTTGCACTGGCACTGACGGCACTGAGGGAAGCCCCAGAAGCCAAAGAGACACTGGTCACAAGCGCGGCCGCCAACGTTCTGGATGCAGGTACACTGACCGGTCCTATCGTCACAGAAGTTGTCCCTGGCACCAAACTCATGGCAGTCACACGCTGTGGGAGGGGGGTAATTGTTTTGAAACAGAGATTTACAGCAATTGCAACACAAATGTCATACAAGAGCTGAAGATCAGGGGTGTTATGAGAAAGTAACACCATGATAACTGTAGGCTGGAAAAAAAAAGCAACCCCCCCCCCCCCCCCCAAAAAAATTTTTTTTTTAATTAAAAATTAAGAAGTACAACCTGCTGCTAGCAGTACCCTTCACCCTCCTTCATAAAAGGCAGAAGCTTGTCACGATTACCATAGTGAGCCAAAAAGAGACTCCCAAATAATAAAAACATAAATAGAAAGGGTACTGTAAATTGTTCTTCTTTCTTCTCTAAGACTTTAAAATTTTGCCTATCCAGAAAACCAACAAAGAAGGGGGTCTTACTAACATTTACATCCAAACATAATAAAAGAACTCGTTGTGTATAATAAAGTCTTTGGTGAGATGGAGTTGGGATTCAAAGCGAAAAAGAGTCTTTGTCCAGAAGAAATGCAACCTATTTTACTATAGTCTGACAACCAACATAACTTACGCCTGCAGCCGCTGGGCCCAAAGCCATACGTCCCTGGAGCACACTGGTCACATCTGCGGCCAACAACGTTGGGTTTGCACTCGCACTGTCCTCCACTCGGGTTACACTCCAGGCTCAGAGATCCAGTGACGTCGCAGTTGCATTCTGAGAAGAAGAAGAAGGCTCAAGTGTTATCTTTCCCCTCTTGCTCTCTGTCTTTCATTGTCTGTCTGTCTGTCTCTCTCTCTCCTTCCCGTCTTTCTCTCCATTCCTGTTTTTGACTGTCTCTCTCTCTGCATCTACCTTGTCCTTCCCTTTCTTCCTCTGTCTGTCTCTTTCTCCCTGCCTGTCTGTCTGCCTTTCTGTCTATCTATCTACTTGTCTGTCTCACACACACAAAAGTATGCATGCACACACACCACCTCCTATCTATATATCCATATATTATACATGGTGCTGTGACATCTGATCATGACAGCAATAGATACCATATCATGGATACATCTATATATTACAAGGGTCAATATGGCAGCCATCTTGAAACCTGATATGAAAAATGTTTCATTTTACCAACACTGCTCACATTTAATAACCCTGAATCTGCTTCAATAAAACCATGAATACCAATGGACATAAATGTGCAATAAAAGCCTGATAATACAAACTTTACGGGAGCAGAGAATTTCGTACAAACTTCGTGGGAGCAGAGAATTTCTTTGTGGTAAGCAGATTTCACGTTAAGGAAAGCTATAACGAATAGAATAAAGAGGGGGGAAAAATGGGGTTTGAAAACCTTTCAAGATAACAGAATTTCGTTTCAAGTGGCTTTGTGTTACACAAAGTCTACTGTACTTATTATTATGCCTGCCATCATCATCAAGTGACAGGTTTGCGAGCATGGGAGAGTAAGTTCTACCAAACATCTCCAAACTTCTCCCTCACCAAGGGCTCCATTGTGCAGTACAGCAGAGATGGAGAAGGTGTGTCTCTGGCACTGCTCGGGCAGCTCTTGTTTCAGAGAGGGGAACTGCAGCACGTCGCAGCGGCTGTACAAGAACTCGTTCTTCATGTAATCGGGCAGTCCGGCGCCTTGGTAGATGGGGATGTAGTCTGGGCTGGGCACCAACAGGATCTGAGAATGGACATGGGTTTTTTTAGTAAGAGTTTTACGGCACTTGCAACACAACAAGGTCATATAATTGCTGAAGATTTAGAGGTGTCACAAGAGAGTTACAAACACAAAAAGGGAGAAGAGATAAGGATGATAGATGTTCGATAGGAAAGAAGGAGCAAAAGGAGTTGTGCATTAAATATATGTGGCAGTTCCAGAAAAACAGTCGAAAAGTTTCTTTTTTCTTGTTAAAATAGCTTCACAGTTAGGAGTATTCTCGAGTTCTAGAGTCACATTTCTTGATGAAATTTATCGTAGTACTCAGGTCCTTGCTTGAAAGTTATTTGTTTTTGGAAAGTGTTTTACGGCGCTCGCAACTGCATAAGGTCATATGAGCGCGCGGGACACACCTACTATTTTCAGTTGGCAGGAAATTTTGAATTTTGCCCGGGTGGTGGCCAACCGAAGCCTACTCTTATTGATTTTAGACCACCAAGGGATCTTTAACGTGCGCAACTTGCACACGGGCCCTCCGAGATTTTTTCGCCCTTGTCCGAGAAGGCTAGGTGTAGATCTTTCCTACCAGAAGATCAGGGGTGTGGCAGAAAGACAGCAGTAAGGAGGAGCCAAGGAGTAGCAGTAGAAAGGCTGCAGAAAGAGTCAGGAGCCCAGAGGAGGGGCAAAGGAGGTGAGGGCAGAAGTGGAAATGAAAGCAGACAACAGAACATTGTTAGAGAGCAGGAAAGGATTGAAAGGAGACAATTTTGGAGAAGAAAATTTTTTGGTCGCTACCCGGTATCGAACCCGGGACCTTTGAATGAGAGGCCAACAACTTAACCTCTAGGCCACGAAAGCCCC